TGATGATGATGATGTTGATGATGTTGCTGCTGCTGATGATGCTGACAATGATGGTGGTGGTGGTGGTGGTGATGATGATGATGATGATGATGATGATGATGATGATGGTGACGGTGATGATGGTGATGCTGATGATGCTGCTGACGATGATGGTGATGATGATTCTTGCTATCATGCTGTTGGTTGTGACGGTGAGGGGGCTGAGGAAGAGGAAGAGGAAGCGGAGGAGGAGAAGGCGGAGGAGCAGGGGGTCAAGTCAGGCCAGACCACGTAATGCACGAGATATTCTCAGCGAGAGGGCTGCCAGGGGATGAGGCGGTCAAAAACTTCAGCGAGGAGGATGCTGATGATGATGATGCTGATGATGATGATGATGATGATGATGATGATGATGATGATGATGCTGATGAGGATGATCATGAGGATGATGGTGATGAGGATGATGCTGATGATGATGACGATTATAATGCTGATGCTGCTGCTGCTGATGATGATGATGATGATGATGATGTTGATGATGCTGCTGCTGCTGCTGCTGATGATGATGATGAGGAGGAGGAGGAGGAGGAGGAGGAGGAGGGGGAGAAGGGGGAGGTGGGTAGGGGTATAGGGGATGAGGGGAGGGAGGAGGAGGAGGAGGAGGAGAGGAGGAGGAGGAGGAAGGGGACTGAGGAGGAGGAGGAGGAGGAGGAGGAGGAGGAGGAGGAGGAGCGGGAGGAGGATGAGTAAGAGGAGGAGGAGGAGGAGGAGGAGGAGGAGGAGGAGGACGAGGAGGAGGAGGCGGATGAGGTGGAGGAAGGAGGTAGCAAGGAGTGGAATGCGGAGCGGGGTGAGTGGGAGCAAAGAGCGGCGAGGAGGTGGGGTGAGAAGGATCAGGAGCGTGAAGCTTGTGTGATCATGAGATAGGGGCGTCGGAGGACGAGCAGGGCGGGCGAGAGGGGACCTCGGGCAACAGGGCATGAAGAGCTGCTTCGATTTCTTCGACGGCCGTGAGAAAGACATGGACTGGAACGCGCGCGAGTGGTTTGTGGTCAGGAAGGCCAGCGTCGTGCTGTCAGGCCCGTGTGCTTCTCACCCCCTCGTCCAGCTTGCACGGCCGGCTCTCGCTCATGGGCTCCATGACCAGCTCCACCGCCTGCGCCGCTCTGCCCGTGCGCAGAGTATCCAGATGAGCCATGAAGCAGCGCGGCGGCCTTTCGTTACTCCGTCTCGCGCTGCGGCGCAGCCCTGCCGTGGTGATCTGCAGTCGCTGAGGTTGGAGGCACTCGCTGTTGCTGACCCAAGACGGCCCAGATGAGGAGCCCCTTAAAAACAAAAATCCACCGCCTGCGCCGCTCTAGCCCAGGGCTCGTCCGAGGGCACGCGCTGGCCACAGGCACCCTTCCAGCTGTGACGGAGTCGCACTGCTTCGTGGCAGCACGTCCTGACGGAGGTGCGTGAAGCGGCAGCAGGATGCACAGCGGTTCGCGTCAAAGCTGCCGGGGGCCCCGTTGACTGCCCTGGGCCCTCTTGGTCTCCTGGGGCCCTTTCGGCGTTATATACCTTTGGCCTCTCGGGCGCGCCCTCCTGCACGGTCCTCGTCCGTCAGAGCTCTCGTGCTCCTCTTGGGGCCCGTTTTGTCTTGGAGGCCCTCTCGCAGGCTTCCCAGGTCCGTCTTGGGTCACGGGGTCGCGTCGGACTTGTCATAGGGCAACGTAGGCCCGTCGTGGGTGCATCTCGGACCAGAACGGCGCAGATGCTGTTTCGTAAAGTTCGTTTCGGCTCCCATGTGGTCCTGTTAGCGCGTCCCCACCTCCCCCAAGTTGGCCATGCCAATCTGGCGACCTTTCCCATTCCGCTTCAGCATTCAAGACATTAAGAACGATGTGTCCCGAGGCCCAGGACGACTCGAGACGGTCCGAAGATGCCCCAAAATACTCCTAAAGCGACTCCGAAAGGGACCGAAGAACTGAGAAGTGCTTTTTCAGGGCCACTGGGCCGAAAAGGCAACATGTGCGCTTTTCTGGCCAGATTTGCACCCCAGGACGGCCTACGTTGCAAAATGACAAGTCCAACGCAGTCCCACGATGCCCCTTATACCAGTCTGAAGCTTCTCCACACGGGCCCCGAGATGGCCCACAAAGGAGAATGTATATTCGATGTGTGGATTGCATCGCAGTCTGAAGGACGGGTCTGTAGCGCAAGGGCTCGCCTGGGAGAGCCAGCTCAAGGCAATCCTAGCTCCCTTAGAAATGCAACGTCACTCGACTCCCTTAGTGGTGGTTATTCACGATGGGTCCCGATGTGTCAGGGTCCTGGCCATAGGGTGCCCGCCACCCGTTTAGTCGGCCACGCTTTATGTATTTGTGTCAGGGTCCCGGCAATGAAGTTTCGGCCGCAGCGGTATGAGTCATGTGAAGCAGTGGTTCTAGTGGTTAGACATAGTGATCGTTATTTGATTCATTCTTTTGCCGATCGGCGCGGGCCCTCGCACTCTCCTCCCCCTCTCGACCAGAGTAGATCTTGGCTGCTTTGGGCGCCCTTTTCACGCAGGTGGAGCCTTCCCCATAGGACGCACTGTTGCAAGCAGTCGCATGCAGCAGAGGTCCAGAGCCAGACCCTCCCTCCCCCCCTCCCGCCCACTCTGGAAGCGCCGAGTAAGGAAACGTTCACGTGCATCACTCAGTAGCAGACGCCGTAGAAGTGCTAGTCGTTGTCTTTGGCCTGGCTTGACTTGGCACTTGCCCCGTCTCCTCTAGGCCCTCGAGCCCCTCGTCGCCGCTTGCCTTGCCGCGTCGGGGATTCGGCTCGCCGCGACAGTTCACACTTTTGGGGTTGCGGCCACGCTCGCGGCCAGTCGGCGGAGTCAGGCAAGCGGGAGTTGCAGAGGGGGGTGCGGCGGTGGACGCACATGCACACCCTCCATTCCTCCCTCATCGTCGTCGTCATCCTTCTCCTCCGCATCCCCTTCTTCCTTGTCCAAGCGCTTCTGCTCCTCTTAGGGGGTATGCGCCCGAGGTCGACCAAGCCGTGGCGGCACTCACCGGAGTCCTCATCCCCCTACCTCATCTCTTGTCACACCATCGAACGTTTCGACGGTGCGGTCCAGGCTGCTCTCCAGAGGCTTCGCGGTTCTGAGCCTGAAGTTTGACGTTTCTAGGAGTTGCATGGACGTAGTGCGGACTGTTCTCAAATTTCGATTCTCGCCAGAGGCTGCATACGTCAAGCTTAACACATCTTCAACATGTGCACACATGTAGGACGTATAGTTTTGCATAATCAGGTTGCCGCCCGAGCGGTCTTCGCAGTTCATGATCTTGATGCGCTATGCTGGTGGATGACGGCTGGTTCTTGACACCTGTTTATGTCCTGGGATTTTACACCGACCGATTTGCGGGACGTTGGGAATTCAAAGCAATCACGCGGTTGAATGGCGGCTCTTTCCACGTTTTTTAGTCGCCCAAGACGTCGAGGCTCATTCTTCACAGGGAAGTCCGTTTCCTCCTCCTCCTCCTCCTTCTCTTCCGCTTCTTTCTTTCTTCCTTCTTATTCCTTCCTCCTCCTCATCCTCCCCCCTCCCTCAATCCTACTCCCTCCCCAATCCTCCATCCTCCCTCCTCCTCCTCCTCCTCCTCCTCCTCCTCCTCCTCTTCCTCTTGTCTCCGCCCACCTGCCCCTTCGCAGGGGACAACGCGCTCGTGCCTCTCATCAGGATGGGCGTGGAGGCGCGGGAGCAGGTGATGTCTGACATCGGCATGGAGGACCGCTGAGGGAGAATGTTTGTAGCCTGTTTGGCGGATTTCGCATCGATGCTGTGCTGTGCCTCCCTCCCTCCCTCCCTCTTCGTCCCCCTCCTCGCTCATCATCGTCCTCCTCCTCACTCATCATTCTGAGCATGTTCGCTGTTTCACCCAGACGTCTTTCTATAAGCGCACTGCCAACGCACTCTGGACTGATGAGGAAGCTATTCGGAGGTTCTCCAACCCTCGGCACAGTTTGTATCACACGCGGGTTCTGTGGTATGTCCATGTGTATGTTCTCCTCGGGTGTGTTGGCACAGATCGCGACGTACTTCATACTCCCTCTTTGATGCAGGTCAGCACAGACCTGCAGAGTAGCACTCCGCTTAGAACGCGTTTTAGCTCGATTCGGCATTGAAGGGGGGGCAGCCAAGGGGGAGGTCTAACAAGACCGGGATCGGTGTATGCGCACAGTTCTCGCCCTGTCAGGATTAGGAGTTTGGTTCTCTAGATCCCAAAAGGTTCTGGAGTGCCCACGGGCACTCCAGGGGGTTCTGGGCCGTGTTCGGTGCGAGCAGGCAGTCTACGGGCAGTCCCTGTCCGCTTGAACAGGATTCGTTGTCGGCGTTGCCGCGGACGTGGTCCAGTTGAGACGCAAGGCTGTTCGTACAATAGCGGCCGCTGCTGGTCTTGGACGACGCTTCTTGTTGGGCATCATGCCCATTCAGACATACCCATTTCGGGCGTCCACAGTTCCCCTTCGTTCCTTCCCGCTCCGTTTTTCGAGAAAGAAAACAGCATAAACATACATTTTCGGCGCTCCGCGTGAATTTCTTGGATCCGCGCTGGAGCTCCCCGGCGGCGCCTCCAGCGCCACCCCTGGCCCTTCGTACGCCAGGGAGGGGGTCTCAGGGCAGATGCAAGAGATCCGCGCGGGCCTCCGGAAAGTTTATGTTTTACAGTTTTTCTTGTTGCCCTATTCGCAGGCCCAGAGGCTGACACCAACACCAATTTCGGCGGTGTGCCTCCACCGAGGGAAGAAGATCCCGATCTCGGTGATGGTGGTAACATTCTGGCTTCCAAGGTGGCCGAAACATTACCACCAACACCGAAATCTAGGATCATCTTCCCCCTGTGGAGGCAACCCCCTGTGTCGGCGTTGGTGCCCATTTCCAGGCCTCCAATATTCTTGGCCTCCTCGCGCACAGGCGTGCCTCTCTGCGAGCGGCGCTCGCTCGCCGCGCGGTTCCCCAGGTCCGCTCCGCGCCGCCCCCCGGAGAGGACGCGCGGGTGACCCGGCCAGACCACCCCCTGGCCAAGTACGCGGAGGCCGCCTCCCGGCTGCCGCTGCTGCCTCGGGGGAGGTCGGAAGGGCACCCAGCTCTCCGCCGATCTCACGTTCTGGACCCGGCGTCTTTTCTTCGATTTGGGGCCGCTGAAGCCCGTTCTCGGGCCCCGGAACCACCAGAAATGGATTTGGGGCGACAAGCTGGCCCCGGGGCAGGGGTCGGGATGGGTCGGGAGTTCTGTGTCCGCGGATTGAACGAAGCATACCGGCGAATGTCAGGGTGTGCAGTCCGCACGAGGGTAGTCGAGAGCATCCCCTTGTTTCGGAAGTGTACCCGTCTGCTCTTCGTGTCTGGGCTCTCCACCCCTGGAAGGTCCTTCTCGCTTGAGGCATCTCCCTGGGCCCCAGGACTTCGGCGAGGGTGCTGCCTGGAGCGACCTCGGGTCACAAGCACTTTCCTTGACCCACGCTCGCGTGGCCATGCTTCGACTGCCCAGCTCCGCCATGCCCTCTGCAGGCCTGTTTTTGTGGGCCAGGTCTCTTGGTGCACGCACGCGGCCTCCCGGCCCAGCCCCCGGCGCCGACACGCCATCAAGGTCTGGGCCCCCAGAGTGGGCCTGTGCGGGCTTGGCGGTGGTCCGAGGAAAGGAGCACGATGACCATGACCAGGATGTCGCGGGGTGTTGTCGACGCCATGATCCATGCCTGCCGTCGCCGATTCGCAACTTTGATCCACGAATTCACGATGATCAAGGTGGACGACGACTAAGATCGACACCGACTTTTCTGCGTTCAGAGGTTATTGGTGAGGCTTGGCGGTGATGGTGGTGCAGGCCTGGGGTCGACATGCCAACAAGGTTTGGGCTCCCAGATGGGCCCTTGCAGGTTTGGCGATGGTGGTGGTTGTGTATGCTTTCCCTCTCCAAGTCTTGCTGTGGGCACGCCTGGGCGGGTAGTCATCCGTTCCCAGACCTGCAGTCGAATGGGCGTGCACGCACATGCGACCAGCTGCTGAGACGACCGTGCGGTAGCCGAGGAGGCGAGCATTGCTGGTGTTCCCCGCGAGAGGGCAGCGATCCGTTGCCTCCAGACGAGGCGCGGCGAACGCACAGCTGCTGCCGCTGCTCCCTCCAGGAGGAGGGAGGAGAAGGGATGATGATAATGCTGATGCTGCTGATTATGACGATGATGACGATGATGATGGTGATGACGATGACGATGACGATGATGACGATGAAAATGGCAACGACGGCGACGACGACGATGATGATGCTGCTGCTGCTGATGATGATGATGCTGATGATAACCATGATGATGCTGATGTTGATGATGCTGATGCTGATGCTGCTGCTGCTGATAATGTTGATGGCGATGATGATGATGCTGATAATTATACTGCTGCTGCTGCTGCTGCTGATGATAATGATGATGACGATAATGATGATGATGATGATGATGGTGGTGGTGGTGGTGGTGGTGGTAGTGGTGATGGTGCTGATGACAGTGATGGTGATGGCGATAAGGGTACTGATGGTGGTGGTGGTGGTCATTGTTGTGCTGATGTTGGTGTTGTTGTTGGTGGTGCCGGCGATGGTGACGGTGGTGATGATAATGTAGAGGAGGAGGATGTGGAGGAGGAGGAGGAGCAGGATGATGGGTGGGAGAAGGGTCAGGAGGAGGAGGCGGAGGAGGAGGAGGACGAGGAGCAGGAGGAGGAGGGTTATGCTTATGGTGTTGCTGCTGATATGGTGATGCTGCTGCTGATGATGATCATGATGATGATGCTGATGATGCTGATGCTGATGATGCTGATGATGCTGATGATGCTGCTGCTGCTGCTGATGATGATGATGATGATGCTTGTGACGTCGTTGGCCCCCTGTCATGTGCACACTGTTTTTTCAAGTGACGTGCCCCCCATCGGGTCTTGCACTGTATGTGTTTGTCAGGGAATGTCTCGAGCCTCGGACGGCGTTGTTGGGCCCCCGGCTGCCAACAGCAACGGCTCTCGCGCGAGACTCACACTCCCGCCGCCCAGGCATCTGGCTCTCGCTGGGGACTCCCTGACAATCTGTTCGGGAATCGCGCTCCAGGAATTGCACTCTCGGCCGCCTGTAAGGCTCCTCCCGCCCAGCCCGCCCGCCCAGTCTGCGTCTTAGGTCCGCCCGTTCGCCTGCTCGGAAGACTGCCCCCGCCCGCTTTCCATCTCCCGCTCGCCCGACCTGCCCGCTGGTTCCGCCTGCCCGGCCCGCCCGCTGCATGGTCCCGCTCGCCCGACCCCCCCGCTAGGGTCGTCCTGTTGGCTTGCTTGGAAGCCCACTCGCCCGCTTTCAGATCCCGCCGGCCCAACCTCTTGGTGAGACCTGACCGCCCGCCCCGCCTGTTATGGTCCGCGGGCTAGACCAGCTCGTTGGGTTTCAGAGGACCGACCCGCTTTTCTTACTTGGTCGAGTGTTACCTAGTAGCTGGCTGGCATGAAAAATGATTCCCCCAAGGGGGTGCGTTCATAGACGAAGAGGGTGGATGTCAAGGGATTTGAGGTGATACATGCTGTTAGGCAAGCGCGGAAATAAAGGCAAACTGTATAACATTGATTGTTGCTGTTGATGGTGATGACGAGAAGGAGCAGGGGGAGGAGCAGGGGGAGGAGGAGGAGGATGAGGACGCAGCAGGAGGAGGAGGAGGAGGGAGAAGGAGAAGGATGAGGAGGAGGTGGAGCCAGAGGAGGCCAGGGAGGAGGGCTTTTGACGGTCTTTGGGAGCTCTCCAGGGCTCTGGGGTGTCTCAGGGGATTCTGAGGGGTTCTCCACCCTCCTCTCTAAGCCCTCTCTCTCTCTCTCTGCTCTTCCCCCCTCCCTCCCTCCCTCCCCCATCCCCCCCCCCCGCCCTCCTTACCCTCTGAAGGGCCCCACCTCCGCCAGGAAAGTTTCATACTTTCGAATGTGTTCCCCTCGGGGCTGTCCTCACCCAACCCCCCGCCCTCCTCTTTCCTGCGTCCCCCCCTCCAACCCTGTCCCTTCTAAATAACTTTCCTCTGTCGCACCCCGAAACGTGTCGGTAGGGCGGGCCAGGCGTTTCGCCTGAGACTTCCTCACCATTGGCGATGTTGTGGCTTGAAGGTTGCAACAGTTTCACGGCTGGAGGGCGGTCGGTTTTCAAAATGTGGCTCTCGCTTTAGCGCAGCGCGCATTCGTTTTAGAGGTTAACAGCAGTTTCAAGGACGGGGGGCGGCTCCTTTTCAAGTTGTGGTTCTCGCCTTGGCCCACGACTTACCTGACAATCCCAACCTAACCCAACGGTCCCAGACCCCCCGCATTTCGGGTTGGGGGGTTGTACTGGCTCCACAGTGTCTTGTCGATGTTCTGGAGTGCCCTCCACCCCACCAGAAATTGACGACCCCAACGGTGACTTCGGGTTGGGTTGGGGTGGTTTGGCAGGTAGTCGTTAGCGCAATCGATTCAAGGATGGAGGGCGGTTCCTTGTCAAACTGTGGCTCTTGTCTTAGCGCCGCGCACACTCGTCTTTTCAAGTGTGCAACAGTTTCAAGGATAGAGGGCGGTACCTTTTCAACATGGGGCTCTCGCCTTAGCGTCGCGCACATTCGTCTCACAAGCCTGCGACTGGTTCAGTGATCCGTATGGTTGAAGTCCCAGGAATGGTGTTCTTGCGCGGTGTAGGATTGTCAGGACGCAGCAGTCGTGTGATTCGTGGTGTTGGCGTCCCAGGGCTGGTGCTCTGACACGACTATGGCTTGTCAGAACGCAGCAGTCACAATGACCCGCGGTGTTGAAGTCCCACGAACGGTGCTCTGGCGCAGTTTCGAGTGCTCAGGACGCAGCAGTCATGTTGTTCCGCGGCGCTGAAGCCCCAGGAATGGTGATGTGGCACGATTGAGGATTCCCAGACGGCTGTATTCTGATGGGGCCACGTCCAGCAGTGGCAGTAAGTTCTTGCAGGGATCTATGATGATGGAACTAGGAGGGCTGGTTTATTGCGACATCGTTAATGCCTCTTGGGTGTACGGTGGTCCCTCCTCCTGCTGCTGCTGCTGCTGTTCCTCCTCCGACGGCGGCGGCTGCTCGAACACCCCGTCCTCCTCCTCCTCCTCCTCCTCCTCCTCCTCCTCCTCCTCCTCCTCCTCCTCCCCCTCCTCCTCCTCCTCCTCCCCATTCTCCTTCTCCTCCTTCTCCCCATCCTCCTCCATCCCCTTCTCGCTCCTCCTGCTCCCTCTGCAGCTGCCCATCTCCTCTCCCCTTCTGCCCGCTCCCCCGCCCTGTCGGGTGCGATCGGTCTCGCGGCTCCGACCTGCCCGCGTTGCCGCGCAGGTCTTCACGCAGAAGTTCGACCTCATTGCAGAGCGTCTCAGTGTGGTGAACCAGCTTCGTGAGGTGGCCAAGGCCCCGAGAAGGATGTGGAGGAGGATGTGGAGGAGGGAGGGGCGGGGGAGGGCTGAGTTACATGAGGATGAGTAAAGGGGAGGAGGAGAAACACGAGGGTGGAGGCGGGCGAAGAAGGAGGAGTAGAGGAGGCGGAGCAGTCTCATTAGGAGGATGAGGAGGAGGATGCGGAAGTAGTAAGAAGAGGAGGAGGAGCAGGAGGAGGACGAGGAGGAGGAGGCGGAGGAGGAGTAGTAGCCAGGGGATGAAGATGGGGGATGCCGAGCAGGACCGAGTGGGAGGAGGAAGGGTGGAAGGGAGGAGGTAGAGGGGGGGTGGAGGGGCAGGGCGAAGAGGAGGGCCATGTGCCTCCGCCGAGTGTATCGTCACACTCGTCGTCTCGCTGGCACTCTCGATACGTTTTTTTAAGCGTCAGTATCGATCGAATCATGGATACCCCAAGTGGTGCTTGCACTAAGGGGTTGTTGACGTATATTGCACCGTACAGTTCGCACCATGGAGCTGGCATATTTTGCGCCACATATCTCCCACTACACATCTGGCACAGCATAGCATACACCGCACACATAATATATGTAGACATATCTACGTCTATGTACACTGGTGTGTGTATACATGGATGCAGATAGTGCACAACGTAGCTTGAACCATCTAGCTTGCACCGCGCAGAGTGAGACACACACTTTGCACCACAGGTGGTGCATACTCACAGTGCAAGAAGTGACGATTTGGGATCCACGCTGACAAACGTATTGCCAGAGCTTTCTGGTTTCCAAATCGGACCTTGCGCTGAGGTCTTCTTACTTGCGTTGCTAAGTAACTGAACCGGTTCCCCGGGATAGTTCCTCGGGTTTTTGCCTGGTCATTGCCCGTGGCCGCTTCGTGGTCGCCAGCTACAACTACCACAACTACCACAACTGCCGCAACTTCCACAACTACCACGACTACCACTACTGCCAGTAACATCATTATTTGCACGATTATTATTATCATTGTTATCATCATTATTGTTATTGTTGTTACTACTATTACGACTATGAAGCTACTGCAGTCGTAGCAAAACTACTAAGTATTTGGTTGGGCTCTCCGGGTTTTCGTCCAGTCGCCGCGCTGGGCCGCCCTGTGGCTGCAGATTATGACACCCTCTGGTGCTGCTACTACTGCTACTTTTGCCATAACTACTGCTACTACCAACTGCTACTACTACGACTGCTACGATCACTACTACTACTACTACTACTACTACTACTACTACTACTACTACTACTACTACTACTACTACCACTACCATGACCACCACCACTACCACAATTACCACTACAGTCACCAGTCACCATTACTGCGGTCCTATTTGTACTGCCTAATACGACTACTACTATTATTACTACTACTACTACCACTAGCAAGCTACGATTTCCACCATTACCACTACCACTATCACTACCACTACCACTACTACTATTACTAGCACTACCTCTGCCACTACCATTGCCACTACCACTACCACTACCACTACCTCTACCACAATACCACTACCACTGCCACTACCACTACTACCACTACCTCTCTCGCTACCACCTCTCCCACTACCACTACCACTACCACTACCACTACGTCTGCCATTGCTATTACTGCTACTTTTACCATCACTACTACTATTACTCTTTCTGCTACTACTACGACCTATTATTATTACTACTACTACAACTAGTAGTACTGCTACGACCGTTATGGTTCCTTCTACTACTGCTACTACTGTTATTATTACTACGACTACTACTACTACTACTACTACTACTACTACTACTACTACTATAACTGCTACTATTATTATCACTACTACTACGACTACGGCTACAACAACTACTACTACTACTACTACTACCACCACTACTACTACTACTACTACTACTACTACTACTACTACTGCTGCTACTACTAGTGCTACTACTACTACTACTGCTGCTGCTGCTGCTGCTGCTACTACTACTACTACTACAACAACAACTACTACTACTACTACTGCTACCCCGGGTGCTACCACTACTTCATTGCCGCGATCACTACCACTACCACGACCACTACCACTACCGCCACCAGTGCCATTACCATTACGACCACCACATCCACTGAGGCTACCACTATCACTACCACTACCACTACTGATACCGCTACCACCACCACTGTTACCACTTCTAATATTAGTGGTATCCAGTTGGGGCACGGGTGCCTGTCGTGTGTGACATTTCGGCTCACTTGAAGGGATTTTTGGGGGCCTCTTGCGGGGTTCCTTGGGCTGTCTTTTGACGTGCTGTGACCCGTGGGCTTTTATGACCCGTAGTGTTTATTTGGCGTCAGTGGCCTGTCCTGAGCTCTTGAGAGGCCGTCTTGGGATTCCCTTGGGACCCGCTTCGGCCGTCGTGAGGCTCTTTTGGGCTGTCTTGGGCTCTCTTGGGGCTTTTGTGACCGTCTTGGGAGTCTCTTTTGGTTACCGTGGGGCCGTCTTGGGCCGTCCAGGGGTTATCTGAGGCCGTCTGGGGTCCCTCCTGAGAGCCTTTGGGCCAACTTGAAGCCCTCTTGAGACCGTCCTGGGTTGTCCAGGGGCCGTCTTGAGTGAGCTGTCTGAATGCCGTCATGGAGATCTTTTGGGCTATCTTGAGTTTCCCTTGAGCCGTCGTAGGGCCATCTTGGATGCCTCTCTGGCCGTCTTGAGCCGACGGACGCTCGAAAAAGCGAGGATGCGAACAACTTCTACAAAGGTTAGCCTGGCGAAGGGCCCAACCATATCCAGTTGTGCGTACCGTCGTTGTAAGTATCATTTGGGGCGGATCTCCTCATGGGGCCACGAAGCTCGTAAACGGTGTGCAGAAAACTTGCGCGGACACCGTGCGGGCGCTTCCACTGGGGCCTTCGAGCATCGCTCGCCAAAGTAGAAGGTGGACCCCCATGCGGGCGCTGCCACTGAGTCCTGCGGAGGAACTCCCTATGGGGTCATGAAGCGTGTGAGGGGTGCACCGACGAAATGGAGGGTGGAGCTAAATGCGGGCGCTGCCACTACGCCCAGGGTGGAGCTCCCTATGGGGCCACGAACCGTGTGATGGGTGCACCGGCATGAGGGTGGAGGTGCATGCGGGCGCTGCCACTGAGGCCTGCGGAGGAGCTCCCCATGAGGCCACGAAGCGTGCGAGGGGTGTGCCGAAACGGAGGGTGGAGCTGCATGCGGGCGCTGCCACTCGGGCCTTCGGTGGGTCTCCCCATGAGGCCACGGAACGTGTGAGGGGTGTGCCGACATTGGGATGGAACTGTATGCGGGCGCTGCCACTGCAGCCTTCGGTGGCGCTCCCTATGGGGCCACGAAGCGTGTGAGGAGTGTGCCAAACTGAAGGGTCAAAACGCATGCGGGCGCTGCCACTGGGGCCTTCGGTGGAGCTCCCATTAGGGCCACGAAGCGTGTGATGCACCGACATGATGGTGAAACTGCATGCGGGTGCTGCCAATGGGGCGTTCGGAGGAGCTCTCTATGAGGCCACGAAGCGTGTGAGGAGTGCGCCGAAATGGAGGGTAGAACTGCATGCGGGCACTGCCCCTGGGGCCTTCGGTGGGGCTTCCCACGAGGCCATGGAACGTGCGAAGTTTGTGCCGACATAGGGGTGGAGCTGCATGTTGGCGCTGCCACTGGGGCCTTCGGTGGAGCTCCCAATAGGGCCACGAAACTTGTGAAGGGTGCACCGAAATGAGGGCGGAACTGCATGCGGGCGCTGCCACTGGGGCCTTCGGTGGAGCTCCCCATGAGGCCACGAAGCGTGTGAGGGGTGCACCGAAATGGAGGGTAGAACTGCATGCGGGCGCTGCCACTGGGGCCTTCGGTGGAGCTCCCCATGGGGGGCCACGAAGCGTGTGATGGGTGCACCAGAGTGGGGGGGTGGAACTGCATGCGGGCGCTGTCACTGGGGCCTTCGGTGGTGCTCCCTATGTGGCCACGAAGCGTGTGAGGAGTGTGCCGAAATGAAGGCAGAGACGCAGATGGGAGGCGGGAGGAAATGGGAGGAGGGAGAAGGGGGAGGAGGAGGGGGAGGAGGAAGGTGGAGAGGAGAGGAGTTGCGGGGCGCTGTCTCTTCAAAACGAGGACCCAGCACCACAGGATGGTTGGGAATAAGGAAGATCGATGATTTTGGCTTCTTCAAGCCTTGCTGGAGGCCCTCTTGGAGCACTCTTGGCCCGTTCTTGGAGGGCTCTGATACCGTCCCGAGACCATCTAGGGCCATTTGGGGACCATCTTCGGCCTTCTTGGAGGCATCTTGGGCGTCTTGGCGGCGATGGAGGTCCGTCTTGGAAGCCATCTTGGGAATTTTGGACGCCTTGGAGAGCGCCAGAAACGTGTCTGGGCGCCGGCAGAGCATCTGGAAGAGGGGGCCATGCACGCAATTCTACGCGGCTCGGGAGGGGGGAGGCTCCTCAGAAGATGACAGAACCATTGTGAGACAGCGCCTGGAATTCTAGCATGCCTCAACATGTCAGGGGACACGGTGGCGGAGAAATATTACGAATATTACAGCTGCTGCTACTACTGCTGCTGCTACTACTGCTGCTGCTACTACTACTACTACTACTACTACTACTACTACTACGATTACGACTACCACTACTACTACCACTACTACTACTACTACTACTACTACTACTACTACTACTACTACCACCACTGCCACTACCACTACCACTACCACTACCACTACCACTACCACTACCTACTACTACTACTACTACTACTACTACTACTACTACTACTACTACTACTACTACTACTAACTACTACTACTACTACTACTACTACTACTACTACTACTACCACTACGACTACCACTACTACTACTACCACTACTACTACTACTACTACTACTACTACTACTACTACTACTACTACTACTACTACTACTACTACTACTACTACTACTACTACTACTACTACTACTACTACTACTACTACTACTACTACTACT